TATATTTGTATGACTTTTAGTAACGATTAAAATAAGAAAATTCTGTTCCTACAGGGTGTTTTTTAGTTCTGTCATAACCGCACTTCTGGATTATTTTAAATCAAATAGCCTTAATGAATCAAGAATATAATGTTAAATTTATTATATATATTATTAATTTTAAATATAAACTTTTGAGTAAGTTATAACCTATATCTTAATTGTCACTTTTACTCAGTGCCAGTGTTGGGCATTAATCAATTAAATTTTCAATTAATTAATTAATTAATTAATTAAAAAAGTAATTTTGATTAATTTAATTGCAGTTAAAATTAATTTTAACTGAACTATTGCACGTTGTAATAATTTGTTTGGATTAATCTATATTAATTCTATCTTGCAACTAAATCGATTGCAATTAACTTTTTCAATTGTTTTAAAAAATAATTGAAACTAACAATTATCCTGCTTCGATACAGACGGACACTTTATTCTTATGTAAACAGATATGTGTAGAAACATTTGTATAGAAATGATTACTAAAATTTTAATCTTATGTGAACAGATTTGTATAGACATTTGTATAGAAATTATTACTAAAACGTGATTGTCAGTGTTAAACCTAAATTAATAAGGGATTGTCAAAAATAACTTAAATTAACAAATTATTCACAAAATTAAACTTAAATTAAGAAATTAAGAATTATTGTCATCCTTAAACTTATCATATAATCCGCCATTAAGTTTAATTAAAATAGGTAAAAAGAAAAATAGCAGCCTTTTATTTGTTAGGTACCTAAATATTTTATTCATAAGTTACATTACACTTGTTTTAGCGACACTATGTTTTTCATACAATAATAAATTTTAATTGTTAATTTTTAATTAATTGCATTAATAAAGTTTGACAACTGATTAATTTTTAATTGTTCCACAATTAAATTTTGCCCAACACTTCTTAGTGTCTAGTGGTTAAATTTAATAGAGAATTTAATAATTCGGAATAAAGGAAAATTGGAAAAAACTTGTTTTTTTCAATTTTTTTTCTTAAAGAAATTATTGGAAAAATTGAAAAATTTAAGAAACTCGAAATAAAAATACTTGAAAATATATAACATATTTTAAAAAGTGCTCTCAAATCTAAAATTAATAAAACTCAAGTACAAATTATGAAAGGGTAAATATATTTTATTTAAAACAACAAAAATAAACAAAATCTTAATTTTTTATGAGTAAGCGATAAAAAGAAATAAAAACTCAGTTCTCTATTACTAAAAGGAAACAAGCTTTAAACTGGTTTAAAAAAAAATCGAATCTTTCGATTCCATGTCTGGCACTTCATTCCAGAGCAACATGAATTTAGCAGGGCGTATACCAACCTGATAAACTTTAAAATTTTCAGAGAATTTTATCTTTGCTTATGAGATGCTGCTATAGAATGTTAGAACATTTATCATTATGGCAGTTCATTTGTATGTGTATGTGTATATATTTGTCTATTTGTACAGTTTGCGTCGTATGTTTATTAGTTGACTGTCAATAAATTAGTTTAGTGTCTTACGAAAATCAAATATTATTCACATATATTTCCAAAAATTATAGACATTATTGGCCAAATTCTAATATTAATTTATTTTAATTGAATTTAAATATCTATATATAAGTAAAGTCAATACAATGTACAATCGCTACATAAAAATAAAGAAAAAAAATTTTCTGGTCATTTTAGGTTTACTTTACATCATATATATCACATATATTTTTTTAATTAGTATACATACATTTATAATGTATATAAAATATGTGTATACATAAAAGGAGTGAATGTTTTTCTCCTATAATAATTTAAATCATTTTTATACATTTTTTATGTTTTCACTGGAAAATAAAAATAAGTAGCTACAATCAGTTGTCATTATGTAGTATTGTCTAACAGTAAATTATTTTAAATAGGAAGAAAATATTGAAAATTAAATTATAAATAATAGGTATTTTGAACAAATAAAATTGAAATTCTTATCGCAAACCATTGCTATGTTTTAGGAAAACCCTTCTAACGGATATTATACAAAAGGGTCCTCTATTTGGTCGATATTTCTTAATATCAATTAGCAGGCACAAAGGACTGCTATTATTTTATTTTTACCTCTATCAATATACGAATTAGCCGACAGATTGCGTATCCGATGGTCACGTGCCTAAACCTTTCAGCAGTCGCCGTCCCGCTGAAACTGTATAAGTTAAAAGGACAGCCAAATTTCCGGTATTGTAAACAAAAGTTTGTGTCACGAATTGTGCTCACGACAAAATAATAACTTAATTAATAAACGTACGATGTCTTTTGTCTCTGATGAATTTAATAAGATTGTGAAGGAAAATACAACGTTGTTTTTAAACATGAAGTAATTTTAAAAGCAATCAAAAAGTGTCTTTATGCCACAATAAAAGTTCTTGTGTTAGCTTTGTACAGGGTGTTGTAATATTCCACCGAAAACTTTGTATAAGTGATAAGAAATGAATCAACAATCAATCAATGATCAACAACTTGAATGATTTAAATCAGAACTGCAAGGAGGCCAGTCTTGTTCAACAAAAAGTGAACTCCAAACTAATAGAAGAGAAGAGATTGTTTAGAACCGAACAGTTTCAGAAGATATTCTTGTTATGACCCAAATTATAGCTGCCGAAGACCATGATTTGGATCACCTTAATTTTGAGAAACTTCAGATTCTTGTAACTTCAAAAGTAATGCATCTATTTCCGTGATTTGGTTGATATTCCAGTTTTGCGAAATCATTTCTATAAATTTTTTAGCTTGTTTATAATTATCAAGCTTCCTGCGGTTAATGCTGATTTAGGTTTTTACTTTATGAAGATCTTCCTTTCCATAATTATGTCAACAAATGATGATTTTGATACAAGTATACCATAGAAATTCGTAAACAATCGAAGGTAAGTTTACAATAGAAGGTAAGTTAACAATAGAAGGTAAATTAACAATACAAAGGAGGTTTACAATAGGAAGTAAGTTTACAATATAAGGGAAGTTTTTCGATATAATTAAACACCCGAAAATTAGCCTGCAATATTTCATTATTGCATGCAATATCAGTTTCCATTTGCACTAAATAATTTCATTTCATGAAATTATTTCATTCATTTCATTTTCTCAATATTCATTTCTAATATGCTCTTAATCTCTTCTCTCTCTTTCTCTTCTTTCTCTTAATATTCATTTTTTAAATATTTTAACATTCTAATGATTTATGCAGTTGGTACTGATCACGAGCTAGAGTACTTTCCAGTTACTCTATACTGCTTCCAACAATTATATAAAAATGTAATGACCTTGGTACAACTTCAAAGCAATAGAATGTTAACAATTAGAGAAGTCTACAATATAAGGTAAGTTCTTCAATACAACTGCACACTCTGAAATTAGTCTTCAATATTTATCCGTGCTTTTCTATGACTAAAAACTAGAGAAAAAGCTTACAAAATCATAGACAGAGAAAAAGCTAACTAATGCTCTTAAATGAAATTTTCAATTGGTGGCTACTGTTTTGTTGCAAATCTGCTGATTAATTGCAATTATGTTAATAAGGGGGTTTCAGACTTGGACTAGATTGTGGGTAAATACTGCTCCAATTTCAACTGTTTGAGCTAACAACAACAGCTCATACACAATATAGGTATTTTGAACATAAATCCTTCCTTGAGACCAAAACTAAACCGTCCAAAATTTTAAACTTAGTAATATCTTGTGCTTAGTAACTAAGTCTAAATAACAAAATGCAACTTTTTAAATTTAGGACATAAACTAGTTCTATTTTCAAGAAATGAATAAACACCATTTGTTTTTCCTTAGAGAAATATTTGGACAAAGAAGTTTATTTTGTAATTAGACATTAAGAAACAGTATTTTGTTATATTTGCAGTTTTCCTTAATTTTATTTTCATAAGTAGTAATTTTTTAAATATAGTGGTCCATCAATTTTTTTTTGTTCACCCAAAATTTGTTAACAATCGACTAAATTGAGACATTATTTTGGACCACTGAATTCAAAACCTAATACTTAATATTACTTAATATCCACTTACAAATTTTATTATTATTGTCTTGAGTGGTTTTGGAGATATTTTGGAAAAAAAACAACTTTCAGGAGATTATTTTTAGGTTCATCTTTAAGTGGCATCTTTAAGAAACATTTCTCTGCTTATGTTGATGCAAATGTTTTTTTAATTTTTAGTCGTAAAATACTCTAGAAAATATTGCAAGTCAAGTTCGAGACACCCTTTCCAATCAACAGCCTTTTGAGGAAATAATAGGATTACTCCTAGGATATAAGAAGATGACTGTCATATGACTGTCTTTTTAAAAAATCATAAATATAATTTATACAATCCGTATAATATTTGTTGAGATAGAATTTCAAGAAAATAATAAGCCAATAAAGTTCTGTTATCGGAGCTACTGTAACAATTTATCACAACAGGGGCGTGCCTTGAAATTTTCCTCGGGTATCAAATGCGTTTAATTCCAAAAAAGTGATGCAGGGGTCTTCTTGGAATTCTATCTCAACAAACATCGTACGGACTGTACTAGACGGATCTTTAGAACAGCCTCGTAGGAGGCCACATTTAGTCCCGCTTGAAATGCCACAATTCAATTCCGATTCGCCCAGTAGCCGCCGAAATTAAGTAACCAGAAGCACCTAAATTAAGATAAAAACGTAAATAAATAATAAAAATCCACAAACAGCGGTTACTCGATGATGATACGGTAGTTAGTATTTATGTAGTTAGCTAAGTCCCACCCTCGACAAATCAAAGTGTCGGCGGCGGGAGCGAGACGATGCGCCTCTCGCTAGTGCTGAACCGGGACGGAGAACACACGAGTGGTGTCGGGAGTAATTTAGTGACGAACGTCAGTCAGTCAGTGCGATCTGAAGACCACTGCATGAAACATCAGTCCGATTTTCCCCGTACAAGTGACACAGTGTGATTGTTTTGTTCCGATGATGGAGGACGACAGTCAGCACAGCCACAAGACGGAAAAGAGTTCCGCTGTGTCCATCACGCCGTTCTCCATAAACGACATTTTGAGCGACAAAAAGGACAGCAAGGGTGATGATAGTGATGTGCAGGAATCGGCTTTGGATATGTCGAGGGCCCACAGGAGCGACGATGGTAAGTTCGTACCATTTTTTAAATTACATGTACTTGTTATACGTCGTTATCAAGATGTGGAGAGAAAACTATCTTGCAATAGTTCCTTTTGAAGTCATAAGTGAGCAAAGTTTGTTTATATAATTCTTGAATTGTTCTGCTTAAGTTGACTGATCAACCGGAAACATAGTTTACAAGTTTTTTTTAATAATAATAATAATAATAATTTATTAGATTTGTACGCCACAACATTTTAGACAGAACAGGTCACATGCAAAACTATATAACGTAGCGAAAATGAAATACATACATCTAACTAACAAATCAGAAAGTTACATTTCTACTATTAAAACAGACTAAAACAATTAAAATGTCACAAGTAAAACTAATTATACAGTTAATCGAAGATATATGTCAATATACAATAAACATTTATGCTTGGTCTCAATATTTAGTGTTTATAAAGGTACATGACATGAATGAAAAATTCATTGATATTTCAGTTAATTATACAAATAAATCAAGATATGTTTTTCATGATTGAAAAAGCACCAAATGAGAAGCTTGACTACAAAAAGTATCTGTGGATGCTTTATACAGTGTGTCTTAATTCTGGAGAAATAGAGACAAGGCAGAACCAGTAAAATTACTTTCCTATTCCATTTAAATTGATTCATGAAAAGAAAATACGGAAGTGTTGTTACTTAGTAATTTTGTCAGAAAACTTATAGAATTTGGAATAACACTATACAATATAATAAGTTTAGTAGGTATCACTATACCTAAGGTAAAGGAAAAAAGTTATGGGAAACAACAGCCAAACAATTTAAAGAAAAAACTGTTTACAAATTGCAACAGGGGTATCTACCAGAAAAATTACATTTTCATTCTCCAGTCAGATTTAAAAACCTTTTTGTTCAACTATTTCACTAAAAGATTATTTAAATTTCTAATTTTTGGCTCAAATGAAATAGTTTATTTAGAAAATATTTTAATTATTAGATTTGCCACATAACAGTAATACTGTTACTAGAACTTTAAGAATCTATAAGTTGCTAAGGAAACATTTCGCTGTCTTTCTTTCATTAATAGTAGGATATGCTCTTAATATATTGTCGGTTAATATCTGGACGCTCTATACCGGGTGATTCAGTTTGATATTCGCGGCCTTGTATCTCTTTTGTTTTATCAAATAGCTGTAACAAACCCTATATATTTTTAAATCGCCGCTCAAACTCTATCAAATGATATTGTTAGATCGTCTCCATGGTAACATATGTTGAAATTGCTATAGTCAACTATTTTTGTTCAAATGGCACACTATATATTTTTTTATCAATTTTGGAAGATATTTTTTTCTGCATTCAGCTATATAAAGAAGTCTATAGTTTCATTAGAAATATTGCTAGAAAAACAGCAAAAAGATGAACCCTACTTTATTCTGAAAAATGATAGACAGCTGCGGAAACAACAGAATTTTGACGTTTCTAGATAACGGTTTTTCAAAATAATTGACATTTTGTACCTACCTATTCTATCTATAACTAATTAGTATTACTATAACATGAATACTTAGTATTAAGTAACCAAGAAAAACTAGATATGATTTTAATTTATGGAGAGTGCTGAAAGAACGCTAAAGCTACCAGGCATTTATACCAACATCGTTTTCCGCAGAGACAACTTCCATCAGATAAAATTTTCTGAAAGTTAGTCAGGAATTTGGCAGCATATGGTTTTCAAAAGAAAAGAAGGGCAAGAGATGAAGAACATTCGATAAAGATGTTAAATGGCCTGCTATAGATCTCCGGATCTCATTCTTTCTTTGGCCTTACCTAGAAGAAGAAGTTTACTCTTCGCCAATGATATTGATGACCTTAAAAACAGAATAAGAGTAGAATGTCGGAGATTAAATGAAGAAACACTAGAATGTGTTTGTAGAGAGGGAGTGATAAACAGAGCTATTCTGTGTTTGGAAGCAAATGGAGGTCATTTTGAACATTTGAAATAAGTATTGTTTTAAATTGTTATCTTATTACCGTATTAAAAATAAAATATGTTACTTTAAAAACGTAGTAACTTGTTTTCGCAGCTGGCTATCATTTTTCAGAATAAAGCTACGAAAAGTAGGGTGCATCTTTTTTGCTGTTTCTCTAGCAATATTTCGAATAAAACTATAGACTTCCTTACGTAGTTGAACCCAGGAAAAAAGTATCTTCCAAAATTGATAAAAAAATATATAGTGTGCCATTTGAACAAAAACAGTTGACTATAGCAATTTTGACATATGTTACCATGGAGACGATCTAATAATGTCATTTGATAGAGTTTGAGCGGCGATTTAAAAATATATAGGATTTGTATAGCTATTTGTTAAAATAAAAGACATAAAGGCCGTGAATACCAAACTGAATCACCCGGTATAGGTAGATTGGTTTTGAAGGCAATTTGGAAATCCAAACCTCCGCTTATAGCAGGAAATAATTATTGAAATTCTTGTTATTACAACATAGATTTGAGGGTTGTAAGTGTGCCTACTTCTGGCTTGTTCTAAATATATTTTGTCTTGAATCAAATGTCCAGTAATCATTTTTTTAGGTATATTAAGCACATTAGAAAAGTTCCCTTCATAACAATGAAACTAAAAACTTACGATTTTTTTCATAATTTTATTTTTCAATACAATCTTCCTTAACTTTCAACGCAATTTCCTATGGTTTTTTGATTATATTAAATGATAACTGAGGTAAAGACTATTATTGAAATCCCCTACGGCATCGGCATACCTGTATATTCAGCAGGAATAACTCCTGGTCAGATTGAAAACACTGGCCATGAACTAAAGATTGCCTATAGATCTTTTTTTAGAAGATGATAAACCTTACGGATCTCTTACACTCTATAAAAAAAATTGAGTGACATTACACTCGCATCGCACTCAATAGAGTATCAAATTTTAACTCTCTTAAAATGTGTACATAGCAATTTTATAAGTGAAACTTGTAAGGTAGAATTATTATTACTTATTATTGTATTTACTTATATGCGAGTTTGTATTACTTACCAGTGACTTTTTATCTTATTATGACCTTTTAAGAAGAATTGAGAATTAAGTTTTCTCTACCATAATTAAAATTTAACTATTATTGAGTTATTTTTTACTCGGACTTGATTATAATGAAATTAGACGCTATTTATATCCTACTTCATTTTTTGATGAAATTATTTGCTATTGACTTACATAAAAATAAGTGCAATACAATTATTCAAATGGAATTTTCAAATATTCAGAAGTGTTATTGTAAAAGGGTCAATAACCAACGAAGAAACTGGAATTCAAAATAAAATGATTGAACGAAACAAGTGGATTTACATGATACAAAATAACTGTAAAAAGATTGAACTTTTCCAAAACAGAAAATAATAGGAGAAATAGATTTTGTTATTATTACTTAGAATCTAATAATTCATTTAATTAACCCAATCTTAATCCTCAAAATAGAGGATGATGAAGATGATCTACCAATGGAATGTGAAGTTGGTGTGGAGGATAAACAATGTCGCAAATTGGAAAAAAGAAACAGAGATTTGGAAACATTCACTTAGATTTTGCTAGAACTGTACTAAATATGTACTATATTGGAGTATAATTAATCAGTTTTAGTTCAAATATTATCATAAACTAGTAAAATTGTCATAATACTCTATAGTAAGTGAAAATATACTCATTTGCACCAAATACTTCCTAGATGTGCCCAGTCTTACCACTTGTCCCTATCTTAGACAAAAATTTAGGATCTGCATCTAAAAATTTCAAATGATTTCGAGATAACTGATCTTGCTGATGCTATGCTCATGCCTAGTTTATCATGCAGAATGGTCAAAATCCTTGGTTCAGCGATTCATCACAATTGGTTCCGTCAACCCCACCGAAACTGTCCTGATCAATATCTTATTTTAAAGTATGACGGAGCTTTATCCTTGTATACGGCATTCATTTGTTCCTGAAAATTTTTAGGACTACTGTGTTCCTTTGCGAAAAAATGTATGATATTGCGATGCTCCAATTTCACAAACCTCATTTTTTATTGCAAATCGCTTTATAAAATCAAATCAATCAAATAAAAAAGTCTTTATTTGACGGGTCTCAACATCTGGATGCTAATTATTACATTATTTTCAATAAGTTACATACTGATTCATTTAAACGAACTCGTTGTACTCCCTGAACTTATCTTTTCTTCTACTTCCTTTGACATTCAAATCATCGTTAATGGTTGAAGTTTGTCGAATAGCCTGCACATCTCAGAATGTATACTGATTACGTATATACAAGCAAAACGAAAAAAATATCCAAGACTTTAGCTCTTATAATTAGTTGAACAATTAAAAATATACCAATATGGTGTCATCGTCAAGCTGGTAGTATTAAAGACGGCTGCATTCCTACTACTTTATTATTGTAAGATTGTACATTCCAAATTACAAGAATCAAAAGTGAACTAGATCAGTATTTTACGGACAATATACAACTTTAAAACCTAATAGATATCGAAGTAGAAAGCCCATTGTGCGGTTCTAAATAAATTCGTCATTGGCCATCAGCCAAGGAGATGACATGACAAGGGACATTAGAAAATGGCGCTTGATACAGGCTGGCACCTATACTTGGCAGCTTTTAAGCTAAAAGCTTTCCGCACTTTGCTTACGTGTTACTTAATTTTGGTAATTGGTCGCAGAATAACGGGTTTGCCGGCACAATGGCTCATGGAAAGATTTTTACACCGTTCATTTAGAATGCATTAAGGATTTTTCTTTGTTGTTATTAATGATACGTTTCGAAGTATATCCATTGTGTTCTACTGAAAATTTTAGTACAAAGGAGTTTTTATATATTCTAATCGGCAGGATATAGGTTGCGATATATTTGGCTTTCTAATAGCTTCTTCAAAAATTCTGTGGTTTCTAAGGAGTGTTCAAGGCTTGGAACCGGATAAAACCGGTATGGTCCTTATGGCGTAGGCGATGTGAAAGTAGGTTTTGAAAAAATTTTTTCTCGTATCATGAAAACCACTTGTTTCATATTCAATCCGAGGCTTATGCGAATTCCTTTAGTAGAATTTTGGGCTTCCAAGATTTGCGAAATTTTTCTTATAAATTTTCTTGTATTATGGTTCATAGAAAAACATCATAGACTTCAATTCTTTCTTAAAATTAGTTTTCAGCCTAATTTGAAAAGGTAAATTTGCCCTTTTTCCAATTCTTTTTCCTTTGTCGTGAAAACTACTTGTTCCATTAGGGTAATTCGAAGCAAATTTAAAAATCCTCGTATTCGATTTGTTTTATTGCTTTCCAGAGAGAAAAGTTTAGTTGTGTGACCAGTTAATAACTAGGTACAACGTAAAAACTCGATTATTTTTATTATATGCCCAAAAATTTAACAATTCGGGAAAAAACCGACAAAATTATTTTTTCCGAAGCAAAAAATTGGAAAAACTCAAAATACAAAATACAAACATTTGAAAAAATCAGTTTGGAAGAAGACTATTTCAAATCAAAAAATGTAATTTTTCAGTTCTATCGACAGAGTAATTTGAAAATGCTTGGATAATTATGTGGAAGACTGTTCCAACTCTTACTGTCATTCAAAGCGTCATCAGGGCGCTCTGCTTAAAACTATGACATCTCCCCTCCCCTTCCGTAAGTTATGAGAAAGTCAGTTACTTACCAAAGTTCTAACATTAGTCTAGTAATAACGTAATTGCAGTATTATTATACCTACTGGGAAGAGGCTCCAAAGAGTGATTTCGAGATGTCAATTTTGAAAGAAAGTTAAAATGTAATTATGTTTTTATGGAACATATTTTTTGCTGTAATTTGAACAATAAAAATTCTTTGAATCAAGAGAGCATTTCATCAAAGCTCTGGTTCTAACAAGAAATATCTTCAGAAGTTTATGAATCTTTTTTGGGGAAATCTATGACAATTTGAAAGAGAAAGAATGAAAAGGGGGAAGGGGGTGGGGGAGTTCAATGTGTTGGAAGAATCTAATCATGGCAGAGAGTTTCCTTTGTTCCTTGTGGCTATTATGCTAATAGAAATAGAAAGTAACTTACTGTGTATTTTAACAAAGTTCATTTTAAATACTTTAAATGGCTCTCCTGAAAAATGGCATTTTTTGAGATATAATAGTTTTCTTCCAAATCGACGATATGATATTTTAACAATAGGTATAATATATACAGAATCAACATGCTCTCACATATCAAATTAGTCGAGAAAAAGTATAAATGGACAAAAGATGATATTTTAATACTTTATTGACAACAAAATGAAAGCAAATCTTAATTTTTCAGGTGTAAACAACCAAAAGAAATAAAATTTCACTTCTGATAACTAAAAAAATTACATTTAAAGAGTTTTCTAGTCAAATTTCAACATAAAAGTGAATTAAAAAACTAGCTCAAAGCAATCATTCTTCTGTAAATTCACTTGAAGGAAAATCTTCAGATTCCTTGTCAAATATTTCTGATCCCAAAGCAATATGCATTTGGTTATTTTCATGTCCAAAATCTTCTTTAGTTTCTTGTAAAAGCGGCAATGGCCTGATGATTTATTTATAAAAATAATTAAAAAATATATATACGTATATTAACAAATTATTTGTTTCCGAATTATTCCCATTTTTTTCTGAGAAAAAAAAAACGGTTTTTCCTAACGTTCCAAATTTTTCCTAAAATTTTGGATTTCTAGTCTTGCCAAACTAGAGAACGTAGAGAAAAATATCACCAGTATTTTCAAAGGAGGAGATATGACTTTTTCAATTTTTTTTCTCGTGACTATCTTTCAGAGGAAATTTAAGGTCAAATGTGACTTCCTCCAGAACCGATTTACTAGAATTGGTATCTCGAAAGGATAATTATTTCCTCGTGAATCTGTTTATAACCAAAATCCAAGAATTATACTTTTTTAAATTGCTATGCGATTTCTTGTCAAAATGGATCTGGATGTTTTTGTTTAGATTTTGGATACTTTCGTATTTTAAGAATTTTTTCTTTGATCTTTTCGTGAAGTTTTTATGAAAACGTTTTGTTTAAGAGTAATCTGAAAAGTGTTTTCATAGACTAACTGGACTCTACTAAATCTGTTTCTTATGATTGAAGTTGAAAATATTTTCTTGCAGTACCAAATCCAATTCGTCCAGATTTTTTTTCCGAATAATAGAAATTGAAGAAAAATAGAAGCTACCAACGATTTGAGGAATCCAAAAACGTATTCTTGGATGTTTTTATTTAGATTTTAGGTCCTTCGATGCTTCATGAAACTCTTTGATAAGATCTAGGAAAAATCTGAAAATTCTCCTACTCTATTTCGGCCTTCCTAAATTCATTAATAAAATATTTTTAGCTTAGGTTTGAAGAGGTTGTTTTCAATTTTTTTTCTAGGGTAGAAATTGAATTGGTATGTAATGCACATTTGTTTGATACTTAGCTCAATATTAATCAAACTTGATTTTAAGGAGTTGTTGCAAGTATCAGCCAACCTAGTTGAAATAGTGAATACAAAAATATATTGAATGTATATATAGTAGAGAGATTATTTAGATATTCTTTGCACAGTAGGCAACCGTCATCAAACGTGGACTGCTCTTAAGGAAATTAATATTTGCTTTAACAAAGCTTCATATTCTTCCTGATTTTTCAGATTCAGACAACATTAGTAATAATTTTTCAAAATATTTCTAATAACTATGATTTTAAAATAGATTATTATAGTAATGGGGACTAGCGATGGTTTTTCGGTATTGGTTTACACTTTTGCACGATATTCATTCGATTGATCGACTGTTTCCGTAGATCCAAGGCTCGTTTACAATAATGATGCGTTTCATGACATCTTGGTAGTTAGAAATCATTGTTTCACAGATATCAGCGCGTCGCTGTTTTTTCAAAAAGTTGAGCAAATGCCAACAGTATCAACAAGGTTCCTTATTGTTAATCGACAGTTTTTACCCACAAAATCTTTGATTTGATTAACGTGTTGTTCATCAGTTGACGTTAATTGTTCTCCGGGACGCTGTTCGTTCTTAACGCTTTCTCTGCCTTCTTTAAGTCTTTGTACCACATGTAAACATTTTTTTTTGCGACATAACCTCATCACTAAACACTTCTGCATGTTGCCGCGGCAGTTTCATTCCGCAAACAAAATTTAATGCAAATTCTTCGCTCAACAAAATCAGACATAGTAAAAATCGATAAATTCACTATCGTATGTTACATAAACACGACTAGTTGTGCAGCAATTGAATATGTTGACTTGAAACTCAGCATAGATATCAAGGACAGTACCACCAACCTACAAAAAAATAATTGTGTGCTTTCATAATACCCGCGAATTTTAAATAAATAATTCACATTATTTTTTGGACACAGGGTTATGTAAAGCTGCTATTGGTATTTCAATTCAAAAAGAAAATAATAATCTGTAATTTTATTTTACCAATTTGCCTTAAATTTAAAAAATGTTTGAGAAAACATTAGATATGTATTCAAATTTATGACTTTATTCTTAATAACAATTTGTTTCCCGAGAGTCAATGTGGTTTTAAAAAAGGACAATGGAATTATGATAATCGACTTATTAGTATTTTGGTGATACTAGACTTTTCTAAAGTATTTGACACTGCCAGTCATAAATTATTGAGTTTAGCACCCAAAACCCTGAAAAACCTAGATTTTAAGTAGTTACAATAATGTTAGTTCGTCTAGTCTCAATATGCTTGTATGTTCGAAAGTGACTCAGGTTACATTTTAGGCTCATCTCTTGACAACATTGAATAGAAGTCATGTGTTTGCTTACGCAGATGATACGCAATTAATTTTAAATTTTCGTTTAAATCGAAAAAAGTAAATTAGAATTAGATAACATTAGTAGATTGACTTGTGAACATAACCTTAATCGGATCTAAGTAAATATTCTTATGATTTTTGGAAATAAAAATAGTATTAAATGACTATTCATAGAGTAAGAGATAAATTTGATATCATTATCAATTAAATGAAATTGTCATATGTTGATACTGGCAAAGACCTTAGCATACAGAAGAGTAACAATTGACACTGACATCAGACTTAAATGTTATGTTAATTGAATTCTGCAGAAAAGTTACAGTTTATTACAATTTCTATTATGCTCATTCATTCATTCTTTTAATTTTAAATTAAGAAAAATGCTTTGCTGCTATAACTGTTTATATCAAAATTAAGAAAGTAAGTTTAAGTATCTGTTGAATAAAACTCTTCGATAAATTTCACATAATCTTTCAAAGATCTTTTATTTGTAACCGGAGAATTAAGAGTTCTTTGTTTTCGAAACTAAGAGTAGATTTGAAAATTTTTACTTACTAGTCTAGATTAACGTTTTATTTGCATTTTTTCTTGTAACTGTATTGTAAATAGCTCCACTTCTTATCCTCAACTGTTTATATTTCTTTTTTCTCTTTGTCTTACTATTACCTTCGAATTGCAAACGAAAAAGTAGATTGCAGTTTTGTTACACACGATAATGTAATCAAATCAAACACAGTAACGATTTTCAGTACATTGTTATCCTTATCTGTATTAATTTAACCATGTATCCAATTTCCAATAATGATCGTGTTTGGATTCAGTACTTCCTACCGAAATTTGCTAAAAATCAAGAAACCTGTGTTCGTACCCCTTATCACGGCGCTCGTCTTTTGTTCCAGAGTCCCTGTCGGGGCTGCCACAGCCGCCCCTGACTCCCGGCTACGCGTCCCCCCACCAATCGGAGGACGGCTGCCTCCGAGACTCGGGCCAACCGGCTGGCGGCCGCAAGAAGCGGTCGCGGGCTGCCTTCACGCACGCGCAGGTCTTCGAGCTGGAGCGCCGTTTCAGCCAGCAGCGGTACCTCAGCGGGCCCGAAAGGGCCGACCTGGCCGCCGCTTTGAAGCTCACAGAGACCCAGGTAGGTAGGAAGAAAAAAAAATAACTTTGTTATACTCCAGTACCAAAATAGTAGGCAGTGACAGTAGACTCTTGCGACGGGTAAGGTGTATGAAAATGCTGTTCCATAGACGTATCACTTTAGAGGGTTCGAAAAATTTTTATAGAACAACAGACATAATTTTGGTCAAACCACTAAAACTACCAAAAGTACAAACAATACTGAAGCATTTTTACATCTCCCAATGTTAAAAGTTGTGTTATATTGTGCTATATGAGTTTTTCTATTCGCCTGTTCAGTGGAGCTCGGTTTAAGTGGTATGGTGGTAATCGAATCTGTTTAACACTGCGAGCTTTAGCCATTTCATCCCTATATATTTCCTGTATTCATTCGGCTTTTCGTTTTTGAGTAAATATTAATAATTGTACTTTTAATATAGTGTCTTCATATTTCAATATATCCTCCTGTCAACAATTCCATGATTTCTCCTTTTCTCCATGGTTGTCGGATATTTTCTATTCGTGGGCTATGGTAAGGCGCTTTATCCATGGCAATAACTGCACCAGGTTCAACGTCAGGCAAAATATATGCCAATCATGTGGACCGTTATCCAAAAATCTACAGTTACTTTTAATATGTGTGTATTTATTAATGGGCGTCCTTCCAGAAATGCTTCTCATTTGCTATTGATATTTAACTTAAACCTTGGAGATCGTATATACCTCGTTTACAGCAGTAACAAAAATTGATTTTGATTTTATTTTACTACTACCAACTGTTTTGGTACTGGAGTACAGTCCCAAGAATTAGTCGTAAAAAGTCAGAGTCAGTTACAATTACTTAATTCAAAAGTTCAGTAAAAAATGTAATTAATCTTTTTGGTAATTATTTAGAAGAATAGTAAAGCGTCAGGTCTTTATTTGTCGCAGAACACTTTAATTTCGATCTCTTCAACAGGAATCTGAATTTGTTTTGAAGCAATCGAATGTTATTTCTGAAAAATTGCACAGTTAAAGATAGATGAAGGTATTCTTTGTCGGAACGAAAGTCAACGTATTTAATTCGTGTTATTTTATCTAATTTGATCAAAATTCAACCTAACCTAACTTTATATAAATATGGCTCAGAATCAAATACTGATGATTTTTTATGCATAATTGCTCAATTTTGAATAAAAATCTTTTGAACTACGTTGTCAGGAACTTAAAATAAGGCTGACTCTTGTTCATAAATTTTGGCGTTCATATACAGGGTTGGAAAATCCACATGGCCCGTCTGCCTTTACATGAGAGCGACAAAGTAAAGTAAAGAAATCCGTGCGACAGACAAGGATGGCTATAGTGAAGACGTTTCATAATCTGAATAGTCACCGCCCGTTTCGGGTTAGAAGTGGGAGTGACTATTCAGATTATGAAACGTCTTCACTATAGCCATCCTTGTCTATCGCACGGATTTCTATGACGTACTTTATCGCTCTCACGTAACGGCCGATGAACCATGGGGACTTTCCGAACCTGTATAAGTATTAGACGTGATATCCAATAAGTACTTTTAGAATAACAGTTTACCTAAGTAAATTGCCTCTTTCTGTGGCACGCCTTTTTTGGATCTGACGGCATTGATTGCGAACAATATAACCATCTTTAAAATTATAAGCAAGTTCAAGAATTATGCTGACCCTCTTATTCCGAGCCATGTAGGTACGTCGATGGAGGACGTTATTATCCTATAACACCCATGATGCATTTAACGTTTAATGACCTATCAGCCTGTTCTTTAATTTGAATTACTATTTAGGTAGATATTGCTGATATAGCATTTGACAATATTTTTTTTTTGTAATTTCTGTTATTGAATTAATTTATTGACATGGTAATGTTCTTATTCTAGCGCGTTATAGATATTTATAACTACTGAACAATTTCCGGGCTGTCTGCCATGTCGTTGGTGTAGACTTCATGACTTTTTGAGAAACATATCTCTCTTTTCTTCAGAATATATGTCTTTCAACATATTTATAACGTCTTAGGGCGTTATTTATTATTTAATGAATCTCGAAATAAGATGATTATTTCAAATAACATACATTTAATAATTAAGGTACAGCGCCTAAGTCGACAGTGTACGTCAATTGATGATATTGTTATCCTATATCACCCGAGGTACCTTCAACGATATCCATTATTCTGGTGTTATCTAGTTCGAAGATATTGTTACATATAGCTGGTATGGCATTTATTTGAAGTTTTATCTTTACCAAACGTCATCTATTTGTAATTATTATTACTGATTTTATTTAATTGGTATAATGTAGGTATAGGACGTTAAAATAATTTTAAATTTGTATTCAAAATGCCAAAATAGTCACTAGCTTTTTTTGTAATTTTGTACGTTGTAATTCTATAATTGTAAAGTTGCAATTTTCCGAAATACGGTATCTGGCTGTTGCAAAACAACGCCAGAATCAAATTCTGGATGCCAAATTAGAGTTTGCACAAAAAAATATGGACATTTGAAGCTTGTTATTCTTCTACAGAGAATACATCATAATTAGCTTACCAAACCTCATCACTAGATTCAATCAACAAAAATAAATCAAATCACTCTAGGAAGGTTTTTATTCTTCTTTCGAAACTATCTCAACTTTTTATTTTTTTAATTAGCTTGGAAAACTTCATCAGTAGATTCTAATATACGTTTAAATATAAGAAAAAAAGTTCTAACGTACAATCTAGTGATAATACCATCTTTTTTCTAGGTAAAGATCTGGTACCAGAACCGTCGATACAAAACCAAGAGGAAGCAACTCCAAATGCAAGAATCCAATATGCTGGGCCAAAACGCCAAACGCGTAGCCGTCAAAGTGCTCGTCAAAGACGACATGCCCATTTTCCTTCAACAAAAAACGCCCATCTATCAGAAAAACGGGTACTACTCCGAACCGAGCAAGAGCGACTTCTTCGTATACGATCAGATCAGCAAAGGGCTAGTCCAAAAGTATCCCAAGACCATCCAAGAGTCTATGCTGACGCTTTGTCAGCAATATTCGAATTCTATGCACTTATTTCCTTATTTTAACTACTACCACCCGTCACTGATCAGTAATTTAAGTCAACCAGAAGAAGAAGTTAGTAATTTAGATGGCAGGGATAGAGAGCAAAACTAGAAATAGAAGTAGAAAGTAGATAAATATGGAGAGCTTGTTGAAAAGACAATTTTTAATAAACGTTTTGTACGTACACAAAAAATTGGTGTTCTAAATTGATTAAAAATATATAATTACGCTTGAATAATAGCTGACAAAATGTTGTATGTATTAATTGACTCGATTATAGGTACTGTTTTTAATGGCAGATTTTTTTTACAAATGAATAATGTTTTTATTGTTAGTGGCACATTTTTTTGTACATATAGAAAGTGCAATTTTTTTCTTAACTAGTAAGGCGCTGACACCAAAGATAATTTGTTGTGATTTTTCAGAAGATCTCAAAAATGTGTTGAACAATTCAGTCGGTAGCAGTTCGTGAAACAGATGTTTAAAATATATTTTCCTTAGCATAGACGAACAAAGTAAACAACTTTTAACGTGTGTTTCATACTTTAAAAATATAATGATTTTGATAATATTTGTAAATAATCATCTTAATAATAGCTGCTATATATTATTTATACTCAAACGATGTATAACATTTTTAAAATAGTTATTTTTGGCATATTTTTGAAGATTTTGTGAAACTTATAATTTATTGTAAAGATTTCATATACTCATGTGTAATATATTGTATATATTGTTCTACAGAGTGACCCATTTGAAAGCGGGCCACCCTCATAACATTTTTATTTATGGAGCGATTTTGACGAAATTTTTTTTGAAATGTAGAGGGGGGAAAAGTGTATTTTGGGGCTAAGCGCCGCCCAGTTCTTTTTTAAACTAAGGCCTACTAGATCACATTCAGAGGCTGAAAAATCCAGAATCCATATTAGCGATTTTTTTAGAAAAAATCTGCGTACGCCACTGGATTTGGCGTCCCCTGAAATGGATCTGTACCAAATTTCATGAAAAAATATTCAACATTAACGATTCTGCGGCTAAATTGCTGTCAAATTGTTTATTATGCATAAAGAAACTTTTTATCTAGTAACCCATGCGATAATAAATCAATCACAACAAATATTTAATAACACGTTTAATAGACATCATTATACCAAAATACAATGAAACAGACAGAAAAATGAACGAGAAATTAACATAAAATTTACAAAAAATACAATAAAATAAAATTAACACACATGAATTAAATTAAATTCTGGATTTTTCAACTAAATCTCCATTTAATTGAATGAATATTTTTGTAAATGTTGCCTCTCCTAGATTTTTTTTATGGGGGTTCATTAAAGAAAAAGTTTACTACACTCGTCCAATGAATGCAGAAGAACTGCGCGAAAGAAGAAGATAGGCATGCGCTGAAATTACAACACATCAATTGTCTAATGTTATGGCACACATTCAAAAACAATACAATAAATGCATTCAATTAAATGAAGATTTAGTTGAAAATTCCAGAATTTAATTTAATTCATGTGTGTTAATTTTATTTTATTGTATTTTTTGTAAATTTTATGTTAATTTATCGTTCATTTTTATGTCTGTTTCATTGTATTTTGGTATAATGATGTCTATTAAACGTGTTATTAAATATTTGTTGTGATTGATTTATTATCGCATGGGTTACTAGATAAAAAGTTTCTTTATGCATAATAAACAATTTGACAGAAATTTAGCTGCAGAATCGTTAATGTTGAATATTTTTTCATGAAATTTGGTACAGATCCATTTCAGGGGACGCCGAATCCAGTGGCGTACGTAGATTTTTTCTAAAAAAATCGCTAATATGGATTCTGGATTTTTCAGCCTCTGAATGTGATCTAGTAGGCCTTAGTTTAAAAAAGAACTGGACGGGGCTTGGCCCCAAAATACACTTCTCCCCCCTCTACATTTCAAAAAAAATTTCGTCAAAATCGCTCCATAAATAAAAATGTTATGTGGGTGGCCCGCTTTCAAATGGGTCACTCTGTATATTCACGTTTTGAACACTTATTTATAGAAGTCGTACATCTTTATGCACTGTGTGTTATAAAAAGAGATAATAAATACGTTACACTTCAGTCGTGTTTTCATATAAATTAAAATTTCATCAAGAAATTGTAATTTCGGTTATCCGAACATACAAGATATACTACATTGTATTTTCCGAAACCGTGTCTCGAAAGCCTGGTGATATAAATTAATCAATATTACAAAAGTGTAATAGGGTGCAACCAAAAAGTTTTAAACAAATTTTAATTCCATGTAAAAAATAAATAAATACTTATATTTTTTAAATGTGTGTTTTTGGAAAAGCCTAGTTTTTGAGGTACCTATACAATATTAAATTTTGAAATAGAAATCAAATTTTTGAAAATACAAGAAAACAGTTAAAGCGAGTTTATTCAAAGTTAAGATAATGCAACTTTAATATTTGATTATCCATAAACATGTGCGCTTGATAGAGATTTTTTTATATACAGGGGCGAAATTTCTGTTGGGGTAGACGCAAATTTAATATTTCTAGTCTAAAGTTTTCAATCTATTATAAATTTGAAGTTATGACAGAGTATAAAAGCTGTACATAAATGTGTACTATAAGGGTAGCCCATCGAAAACGTACCGCAAGGCATTACAGGGCAGTAATGAACTTTTCGGCAAAATCCAAAAACAGGTCAAATTTGTTTCTGAGGGGGACAACTTTTGGCTCAAAAAGCATACCAAAATATTCAACCCCCTAAGTGGGGGTGCTATCCCCTAAATTTTTTCAAATGGGAATGGGGGTCAAGTGGGGGGTCATTAGAAAGGACTTTTAATTCTCTATACATCGATTCTTACTTTTTGAAAATCGATTCATTATTTTAGAAAATATGCAGCTTTGAAAATACGAACAATATTATTGACGAGAAATGCGAAAATCGATTTAATTTTACTTCAAAACTTACGGTATTAGTCAAGTAAATGCTGAAAATGTTGTCCGCCAACTTGCATACAATGATACAGGTTGTCTTCAAGCCGTTGTCGAACATTCTGGAGCACTTGCGGTGTTACTTCGCGACATACATTAATGATTCGTCCTCGCAGATTCATAACGTCGAAGGTTTAATTTTATTAATTTTACGTTCGAAATATGCCAGTAGTACCACTTCGGACACTTTTTGAATTTTCTTCGAACTACACCACCCTTTGAATTTGTTGTAGGCAATCTCGTACTGTCTCGACCATTTTTTTTTTCCGAGCTCATTTTAAATTAAACACAATTGGAATATGAATTACAATATATAATTCTAATACTACTTTTTCAAACAACTAATTTTTATTGTTTTTTATGTTACTATCGTCATGATAACCATCGCGCCTAAAACGTCTTGATTCAAACAAATCATAGATAACACAATTGTCTTATTTTATTGCAGTTTTCGAAAAAATATTGTTTGCTTCTTGAAAGCGAAATGCTTTTGCGTTCTCGAATGGATATTTTGCCGGTTTCCTTGAACTGTTTCTGCATCTTGAAATAACCTCGTATTTTCGTTAATCTTGAACACCCTGTATCTCGAAAAAGGACCATTTTGCTGTCAATGTTTATAAGAACCTTCTAGGTGTAAAATCCGCAATAAAAATATGATTGACATTTATTTTTATTTAATGTCAAAATAAATGTGAAAAAATTAGTTTGACCTTTTAGTTCGTAAAAGTTATCTTCAGGTTAGTTTTTTCTGGAAGTTAAGAATGTATTTTTTTATTTTTGGGCACATCTGCAGTAAGATATTAAACAATTTCTCCTGGTAGAAAGCCTTCTTTACAAACGCTCCGAATACCAACAAGCCAATAAAGCCTACATCCAAGAAAGACAGATACAAAGGCAAACAGAGTAATGTGATCTCTCAGCCAGACGCAAATTATATAAACTCAAACATTTAATGGTTAACGGAACGATTCGAATGGAATCAAAAAGCGTCTATTTTTGTTGTATGTATACCTTAATAGTGGACCCATTAATAAATATTTATAATATAAAGTTCTCCAGTCAAGTGTTGCGCACATGGTAACACTCATAATTTAAGTGTAAACAATGTGAAATTACTGACATTCATAATTATAACAGACTCGGGGGAGATTGAGTTACCACCTCAACCCTGAACTGCTCGTCGTTGCGACGATGTGCCCTTTGTGCCACCCAAGACCTGACTGACGGAGAACGGCGAGAGGAAATAAATGTTTGAGATAACGCAATGAAAATCATTCGATATGTTTTCCTTTGTGTTGAATAATTTAGCAGTTTGAAGCCAAAACGAGCGACACAAATGATAGAAATAGAATTACTGTGTTCTAGTATTTTTTTAATAAAGTTTAACTATGGATTTAATGTTCCTATCGTTTATTAAACATTCACAAAGATGACTTTTTTTAAAACAAAATAATACCTACCATATGTTAAAGAAAGATCAATACCTTTGAACACATATACAACAGGGTATACAGAGTGCCGTATGTAATAAAATAGAACAAAATAAACATAAAAATATTATGCGACATAGGTCCTAAGTCTACCCATTTCGACAATAATTTGATTGTTATAGAGATTTCAACTCACAGAGCTTTCCAGTCTTGGCAGGTGTTTCACGAGGATCAATTTTACTATTTAATATACTTGATATTTTTATTAACATTCAAAAAGACAAAAGGTAAGTAGTGCATCCACTGAGTGAAATTATTGAGTACATTTTCATTCAATATTGAGCATTTCGATAATTTTAGTCATTTGTGATATTGATTTTTACTCATGTGTAATATTTGAACTAAAACTGAGTACTTTCACTCAAATATAGGTACCGGTTAAATAAATTCTTCAGATAATTCAGTATTCAGGTATACTTGTAGCTAAATCGGAACAAATGTCCTCATTATTGAGTAACTCCATCCCATTCTATGGGTGTCGTGCGTTATCTTTGTCTGTTCACATCGCCCCCATTGGGTTATCTCGTGGCGTGGTGTATGGAGTGCAGTGTTGGGCAAATCTCGATTAATATTTGGTTAAATAAACGGATAGTTAAGTTGTTACCTATACTTACTTACGTATCTGTAACATA